CGGATGAATATTTTTCCCAGTTAGGAAAGATCATTGAATTAAGCAAGATGATATATGCAAATCATTTGAAGAATAGTGTTATAGACATATTAATTGGAGAATACCATGAAAGGTTCACAGACTTTGAGAATCATGACATCACACTCAAATTAGCATTTCAGCCTAACCCAGTAGGTATCAGCAAGGCACCTAAAGAACTACAGATGAAATTGATCTAGCTCTCAGTAGATGACATTTTAAAGTCATTGTTTGATGCTAACAAAGATCCAATTGAAATATGGAAAAATGCAGAATATCCACACCTTCAGCAACATGCCCGAAAAATGCCTTCTTTCTTTTCAACCACTTATAGCTATGAGTCAACATTCTCCTACCTAACCCAAATCAAGATGCACTTAAGGTTACAAATGACTGATAACCATCTAGAGGATCAAGTGAAACTGCAGACCTCCATGCTGTCACCAAATATTCAAATGCTTTCCAATGAAAAGCAGACATAACAAAGTCATTAAAAGGTTAGTTAACTTTAAAATTAACAAATACTTTTTATTTTTTGAAATTAAGTACATGCTAGTTAGATTTTTACAAAATAATACACATTTTTAAGTGTATCTAATTGAAGTTTCTTGAATGTGGCCCTATTTGATTACAGCTAAATTCATACAGCCTTCCAACATGAAAAGGTCCCCCATCTCTGCTCTAAGGTGACTCCAATGATGTCCACCTCATGGTGTTCACCCCCTCATATGATCACCTTCCCTTGAGTGTAGGCAGGACTTGTGATTTGTTTTTAACCAAAAGACCATGGCAAAGGTGATGGGATATTAATCCTGTGAATATATATATTATGCCTTGTTAGTTGACTGGCACTATAGACTTTCTCCCTGGCTGGCTCTGAAGAAGTTCACTGCCATGTCGTGAGAGGGCCATGTGATCTGTGAGCAGCCTCTAGGAGCTGAAAGCAGTGCCCACCCTATACAGTCTGCAAGGAGCTGGGGACCTCAGTCCGATAACCATAAGGAGATGAAATCTCTCAACAACCTGAGTGAGCCTGAAAGCAGGCCCATCTCTAGTTCTGTCTCCAGGCAAGAGCTCAGCCCTGGTCAGTACCTTGACTGCAGCTTTGCACAGGCCCTGGCCAAGCTATGTCTGCATTCGTGAATCACAGAAATTATGAAATAATAAAAGTGTTGCTTAAGCTGCTAAATTTGTGATAATTTGTTCAACAGCCCAGAAAACTAATATAGTAACTTTACTTCATAAATATGAAAAATGAGGATTCAGCATTTCTTTCATTCTCTTTGCTCCCTTAATCTCTAAATATCCAGTCCCTAATACTCTTTCAATCCCACTGTTGGTTCACTAGTTTATACTCTTTGGCCTGAGCTATTCGAGAAGCATAACTTTTCTCTCTATCCTCACTTTCCCTAACAGCTAATCTGTCTTTCACCATGCCAGCAGATTCACATTTTAAAATCAACTGAGTCATTTTGATTCCTACACTTAAAAATTTAAAATGGTTTCCTAATACTTGGAAAATAAAACTCAAAATTCCTAGCATGGTTTTCGAGACCATCTGGTGTGCTCTGGCGCTAAACCCTTCCCCATTCTGCACTGCCCCAGGATCCCACATCCCTGTCACAACAACTTATGCTTGTCATCACTGATACATGGCATATACTGTTTTTTAAAAAACAGCGTTATTAAGATATAACTGACATAGCATAAAATTCAACCTTTTAAGTGTATATAGTAGGCCATCCATAGCCGTGGGTTTCACAGCTACAGACTGAACCAACCACAGATCGAAAATATTTGAAAAAAATAAAAATACAATTTAAAAAACAATACACTGTAACAACTATTTGCAAAGTGTTCACTGTGTATTAGGTATTATAACCTAGAGATGATTTAAGGATACGGGAGGACATGCACAGGTTATATGCAAATATTATGCCATTTTATATCAGGGACTTGAGCATCCACAGATTTGGGTATGGAGGCAGGGATCACAGGAACAATCCCACAGGGATACCAACAGACAACTGTAATTCAGTGGTTTTTTTTTTTTTTAGTATATTCAGAGAGTTGATGTCACACAGCCTTGTCCCTCTGTGCATTTCCTCATTGCTCTGTTAGCCTGGAATAGTCTTCACCCCTTTCTTTCTATGGACCCAAAGCCTATTCTTTAAGCTGCTTATGTGTAGCTCTCCCTGACTCCCCTCTTATAGAACTGACTAGAAGATATGCACACACACACACACACACACACACACACACACACACACACGTTACCTTTCTGGAAGAGTTCTTTGATAACAAGCCTGAAATACCAATACAAATATCCTTATTATTCTTTTCAATGGCTAAGCAGTGCCCTTTACATAAGATGACCAACAATGCTGAAATGAATGATTTGTTTCCAGGGTTGTAATACGACTTCCTCAACTCAAATCATTCAAGAGTTAACAACTTTGTGAATGTCCAAAAAATTAAAGCAAAGTTTAAAATAAGAAAGAACTGACTGATCCTTTGTGGGGAAAGTTGCAAGGCGCAAGAGGATTTAAATTTTTTGTTGTTATTTTTGAGACAGGGTCTCACTCTGTCGCCCAGGCTGGAGTGCAGTAGGACACAATCATAGCTCAGTGCAGCCTTGAACTCCTAGGCTCAAGGATCCTACCACCTCAGCCTACTAAGTAGCTAGAACGACAGGTGCCTGCCATCATATCCAACTCATTTTTTTTAGTTTTTGTAGAGATGGGGTCTTGGTATGTTGCCCAGGCTGGCCTTGATCTCCTAGTCTCAAGCAATCCTCCTGCCTTGCCTCCCAAAGTGCTGGGATTACAGGCATGAGCCATTGCACCTGCCATGATTATATTTATTATTTTCTTTTGTGTTTCCATATAAATTGGGTATTCTTGTACATTGTTGCTGAGTTCACTCTAAAAGATGAATTATAATATATCATAATTCTAAGAATATGAGAATCTTAATTTTTTAATGGGATACCAAAAGTAATTTTAACATTTTATTGTAAAGTTTACTACAATAATATGATAACTGGTAATTAAAGATTGGCACACAACCTCAGCAGTATTCATTCACATTTTCTACTCAGTTAAAAACACTGCATTTTAAAAAGTAATTCCAATTTTTATTTTTCACAGTGACCTAATTAATGTAAAAATGCCTTTCCTATATTGTGGTAAAGCCAAACTCATGCCAATGAAACAATTTTTAAAAAATTCTATGGTGTTTTTTTAACCTTCTGCTTATCCAAACTGCCTTTGCTAATATCTTTAAGCCCTTCCCTCACGGACATGACTAACAGATCACCATGCATCCTCCAGCCTGCCCTCTTAGGTTTTGTCACCCACTTTATGACTACCCACTTGTAGTTTCTTTTGATGATCTTAGCATCAAAGCCCAGACAGCTCTCAGTCACCTTTTAACAAAAGCTTTTCTCTTACCAAACCTTTTCTATAGGACTACGAACCTAGACAGGCTATAAACAAAATGGTGATTGTCCTAGAGCTACTCACCTTTCCTTTAAGTTTTATTTGTTCCTGTGCTTATTTTCTCTACAGAAATTCAGTCCTCCTTTGACAGAAGGGAAGAACTAGTCTGATGGCAAAGATTTTGCCATCACTGAGGCAAGAGATAGAACCAAAAAGTCCTGCTGCTGGAGAAGTTCTTAGTAATCATTCTATACTCTCATGTCACAGCTTACGTAGAACATTTCAGAAGTCCAGTCACTTTCCCAAAGCGATGACTAATCTGTGCAAAGAAGAAATAATACTAGGTCCTCTGGTTCCTGGTTGGGTTTTTTTTTTTTTTTTTTTTGAGACAGTGTCTCGCTTTGTTGCCTAGCTAGAGTGAGTGCCGTGGCGTCAGCCTAGCTCACAGCAACCTCAAACTCCTGGGCTCAAACAATCCTTCTGCCTCAGCCTCCAAGTAGCTGGGACTACAGGCATGTGCCACCATGCCGGCTAATTTTTTTCTATATATATTAGTTGGCCAATTAATTTCTTCTATTTATAGTAGAGACGGGGTCTCGCTCTTGCTCAGGCTGGTTTCGAACTCCTAACCTGAGCAATCCGCCGCCTCGGCCTCCCAGAAGATAGGATACAGGCGTGAGCCACCGCGCCCGGCCCTGGGTTGGTTTTTAGAGTCACCACTATGCGCCTCATGATATCATATTTCTCGTCCTTAAGGAGGCAGGCCGGATTTCAGAAGATCTTGGATGTATTTTACTATGCAATGGTCCTGACCCTACTATTAGGTCTGTGTTTTCAAGTATATTTTAGCTATTAAATACTTTGTTCAAATAACATTTTATAAGAAATCACTCGGTGGATTAAAGGGAATGACACTTTGGTCAAGAATCAGCACTATTAGGCCTTACCTCTTCCAGACAGGACTCTAGCATCCTGTAGAACAGTTTCAAGGCCATGGCATGAGGAACCAACACATTTTCTATCACAATTCTATTTTTCTATAGAACCTGATGATAAAGTAACAATGCTGCCCCATAGACATTAAAGAAATACTAACCCATGAACCAGTCCTCAAGGCTACTAGAAAATGCATTTGTAATTGTGAGAAGTACTTATTGATAAAAATATTTTCTGTAACTTCCCTTAAGAAATGTATAATTATTCTAATTTATTTATTCTCATTTGATTACTAGAAAACAACTGAATATCTTATAATAACAAATAGAAACCTGACTTTATGTTTCTATCCTTATTTCCTCTTTGATCCAATGTCTTGAATACCATTCTCCTCTCCCATTATTCTGCTATATTGTATTATATCTAAGTAAACTGTATAAAATAATTTTTAGCAAGGCAGCATAATTTATATTAAATTATGTTTTATAATTTATAAAGATAATTTATATTAAATTATAAAGTTAATTTTTAAATTTATGAAGTTTATAACTTTTATTAAATCAATCATTTATAAGACATGCTACTGGACAATGATTCTGAAATTTTCAAATGTTAAAATATATTAGAGATTTAAGGAATTATAGAATATGTAATTATCATTATTCTGTCTTTATTTATAGTTAAACGTAGTAAAAAAATGGAAAAATACATTCTTTAGATTTCATCTTAGAGTTAGCTTGCCCTGAGGAGACAGAAGGTTACAGTTATGTGATTAAGGAAAAAAAAATCACTCTGATATTTTTAGGAGTGGCGGCTGACTAATCTTTCTAATCCCTCTACTCCCCTCCTCTCCTATAACCCTTATATAGGTCAACAAAGCTTAATAAAGCAGTAATGGAGAAAAGAAATTGTTACTTTTTAAGGCAGTTTCTAAAATCAAATATATGATTATAAAAATTGGAAAAAAGTTTGCTTTTATGAAATCTTGATATTTTGAGATAATATTCTAGATGTTTCTCAGTTAGGCAAATGGGATGGGCCTGTTTCCCTTCAAATCACTATCTCTGGGCCTTTTGCAAGGAAAATGCTAGTATGAGGGAAAAATACTGCAATTTGGAGGAAAAGAAGATTTTTTTTCATATTGAGTGATAAATAATTGGAGCTCAAATATTAACATTGTTAAATAGAGGTGATAATTACTTGTATTATATTCCTTGACAAACATTCAGTCCTTTTTAAAAAAAGTATGGTAACATATAACAAAATTTACCATTTTAATATTTCTTAGATGTGTAGTTCAGTGTTATTAAATACATTTACAATGTTGTTCAGCCATCACTACCATCTATTTGCAGAACTTTATCATTCCAAACAGAAACTCTGTATCCATTAAAAATAACTCTTTATTCTCTCCCCCTCCACAGCCCCTAATAACCTCTATTCTATTTTGTATCTATGTATTTGCTTATTTCCAGGTACCTTAGATAAGTGGAATCATACATTTGTCCTTTAAGTGCTTTGTATAGGAGGGTTTTATGTTAGCTTATTTTGCCTTCTTTCAGAAACTGAAGATGTTCCCATTCATTTCACTTTACTAAAAAGTTTGCAGAATTCTATCCAGAATGGTTGTCTAAGCTTCTTGGTATTTCTGTATATTACAAAAGATAATCTCCTAAACAACAAAGTAGTCTGAAATAAAAAAACAAAAGTAACATTTAAGAAGGATGGTAGAAGGAAGAAAAAAAAAAACCCCAAAACCTCCACAAAGTAAAGCCCAAGAGGAAAGACTGCAAAAGAATACCAATTACTAAAAGACGTGTACGCACTGCATAGAATTTAAAAGGCATAAAAATAGTGCAGTAGTACATCTGCGTTGCATTTAATTAAACATAAACATTAACTCAGAAACTGAAATTACAAATGACAAACAACTTACACATTTGCATTTTTAAAAAGCCTGGAAGTCCAAATACCTAGATAATAATAATCTCCAGGTGATTTAAAAATTTTTCTTTTTGAGTTTTAAATTTTGCATAATGAATAAGCACTACATAGTAATTAGAAAAACAAACATTATTTTAAAAAATCACAAATGATACCTATAAGAACACTTTATACTGTATCATTATGTTAAGACAAGGCAGAATGATGATAATTACCAGATTAAATAACCAGTTTTCTTCTAGCAATACCAAAAATATTTTATTGGCACTGGTGAGATTACAGACAGTCCCTGACTAATGAGTTTTTTACTTTATGATAGGTTCATCAGGGTATTAAATGCATTTTGATTTATGATTTTTTTTTTTACTTATGATGGGTTGATCGGGACATAGCCCCATTGTAAATTAAGGAACATCTGTATTATAATAGAAAAGAAAAATGTTTTTTTCTCTAGTATAATCCTTTCTACTTATGGTTACAATCAAATCACACGACAGTATTTAATGTTTTTTTATATAAGCTATACTACTGAATTGTAAATATAACCAATCAAAAACCTCTGTAGCAATTTTTCAATTTCAGCAGAAACATTGCTGAGAATCAAGATAGCAATCCTAAAAAATGCTAAACTTGTATTGGTTCATGTGACACAATGTACACTGGAACTGTCTACAAAGCATGTGCAGGAAACTTATGAAGGATGTGGGTATTTTCTTATCAAAGGAAATTTACACTGTGCTGACTGGGTATATCATCCTCTGACATGGCCAGCAGTCCACTCTATGGGAAAGCCCTAAGAATTGCAAAGGAAAATAATTAAAAGAGCAAATGCTCTTAATCAACCTTAACTACAGCTGTGTAAAACCACAGATAGTTAAGGTTGCCAAAGGAAGATAAAATTATCAGTCATCAGGGATAAGATTAATCAGATTAATAAGATTAATAGAGGAGAACTCAACATAACCAGAGGATGCATCCTTATAACTGCACACACTATGGCCTCAGGCAAATCACAATCTCTCTGATCCTCAGTTTTTCTTTCTATAAGATGCTAGAAGTTGAAACTGAAACAATGGCTCCTAAATCTGGATATTCATCAAAGTCACTTGCAAAGGAGCTTAAAAATAATGAGTTCAAGGGGAAATTAGAAAAATTAAATGAAATTAAATCCAAAGCAAAAGAAATGCTAAGATTAAAGCAGAAATCAATGAAACTGAAAATAGGAAATCAACAGAGAAAATCAACACACCAAAAATTGATTCTTTGAAGAGATCAATAAAATTGATAAGCCTCTAGAGCAGGCTAACTAAGAAAAAAAAAAAGAGGACACAAATTACTAATATTACAATAAAAGAGGAAAATACCACTACAGATCCTATGGACACTAAAAAGGTATTAAAGGATTACTTTATGCTCCAAAATTTCATCTAGATGAAATAGACCAATTTCTTGAAAGATACCACTGCCAAAACTCACCCAAGAGGAAACAATCTGATTAGACCTATATCTATTGAAGAAACTGAATCAATAATAACCTTCCAAAACAGAAAGCACCAGGCACAAATGGCTTCACGGGTGAATTCTATCAAACATTTAGGGAAGAAATTATATCAATTCCCTATAAGCTCTTTCAGAGAATAGAAACGGGGAATACTTCCCAGCACATTCTATAAAGCCAGCATTTCCTTAATACCAAAACCAGACAAAGATATTATAAGGAAACTACAGACCAGTATCTCTTATGAATATAGATGCAAATATACTCAACAAAATATTAGCAAATCAAATCCAACAATGTATAAAAGAATCATACACCACAACAAAATAGGATTCATCCCAGGTATGCAAGGCTGGTTTAACATCTGAAAATCAATTAATGTAATTCATCACCTCAGCAGACTAAAGAAAAACCACATGATCCCATCAATAGATGGTGAGAAAGCATTTGACGAAATCCAAATCCAAAACTCCCAGTAAACTAGGAATAGAGGGGAACTCCCTCAACTTGATAAAGATTAACTACAAAAAACCTACAGCTAACATCATACTTAATGGTGAGAAACTTGAAGCTTTCTCAACTAGCATCAGAAACAAGAAAAGCTGTCCACTCTTATCACTCCTTTTCAATACTACTGCAAGTACTAGCTAAATGCAATAAGGCAGAAAAAGGAATTAAAAGGTGTTACGGTTTGAAATTCTTGTCCCTTCTGAAACTCATGTTGAAACTAAATCCCAAATGTAATGATATTAAAAGGTGGGGCCTTTAAAAGGTGAGTGGGTCAGGAGGGCTCTGTCCTCATGAGTGGATTAATGCCAAGAGGAAATGTGGGGTCAGAACCAGAGCCAGCACAGAGCCCCCACTGGGGCAATGTCTAGTGGAACAGTGGGAGCAGGACCGCTACTGAGATGCTAGAACTGTAGAATCAACATGTGCAGCTCCATCCTGGGAAAGCTGCAGGCACCTGACCCCACCCTGCGAGAACTGAAGCCTGGGGCTGAACCCAGGAAAGCTGTGGTTGGGGAAGGGGGCCTACCTGAGGCCCTGGGGGGCCAATCCCCACACCAATGTATCTAAGAAGTGGGAGTCAAGGGAGATTATTCTGGAGCTTCAAGATTTTATGTTTACCCTATTGGGTTTTATGTTACTCCTTTTTTCTCGACTATTTCTCCCTTATGAAATAGGAATGTCTGTCTTATGCCTGTGCCACCATTGTATTTTGGAAACAGATAACTTGTTTGATCCCACAGGCTCACAGCTATAAGAAACTTACCTCAAAAGGAATTGGACCTTGAGCCTTGCCCATATTGATTCAGATGAGACTCTGGACTTCGGACTTTTGAAGTGGTGTTAGAATGACTTAAGGCTTTGGGGCTATGAGGATGGAATGAATGTCAGAAGGACATGAGTTCTGGGAGGCTAGGGGCAGAATGGAATGGTTTGAATGATTGCTCCCTCTGAAACTCATGTTGAAACTTAATCCCCTATATAACAGTATTAAAAGGTGGGGCCTTTAAAAGGTAATTGGGTCAGGAGGGCTCTGGCCTTATGAATGGATTAATCCATTCATGGATTAATGGATTAATGGGTTATAACTAGAGTGTGTCTGTTATAAAAGCCAGTTTAGTTTTCTCTTATGAGCCCTCTCACCATGTGATGCCTTCTGCCCTGTTAAGATGCAGTAAAGAAGGCCCTAACCAGATGCAGCCAGCCTCAAGCCCTTATGTAAACTATGGACTTCAGGTGATAATGATGTGTCAATGTAGGTTCATCAATTGTAACAAAGCTACCACTCTGGTCAGGGATGTTGATAACAGGGAAGGCTATGCATGTGCAGGAGCAGGGATATAAGGGAAATTTCTGCACCTTCCTCTTAATTTTGATATAAATCTAAAACTGCTCTAAAAAAAAAAGTCTTGGCTGGGCATAGTGGCTCATGCCTGTAATCCCAGCACTTTGGGAGGCTGAGATGGAAGGATCACTTGAGACCAGGAGTTAGAGGCTGCAGTGATCTATGATTGTTCCACTGCATTCCAGCCTGGGTGACATGGTGAGACCCCGGCTACAAAAATAAAAATAAATAAAGTCTTTAAAAAAATGGAGTTCAAGCTTCTCATCTGGGCACGGTGGCTCATGCCTATGATCCCAGCACTCTGGGAGCTGAGGTAGGATTGCTAGAGGCCAGGAGTTTGAGACCAGCCTGGGCAACATATTGAGACCTCTACAAAAAAAAAAAAAATTTTTTTTTAAATTAAAAAATCAGTTGGGCATGGTGGCACCTGTAGTCACAGCTACTCAGGAGGCTGAGTAAGGAGGATCCCTTGAGCGCAGGAATTCAAGGCTACAGTGAGTGATGATCATGCTGCTATACTCCAGCCTGGTGACAGGTTGAGACTTTTCTTTAAAGGAAAAAAAGGGTCTACATCATACCTACTGCAAGAGTATCTCCAGGGGATCTACATTCAGGGGATTTGCCTGGGATCTATGTTTAAAACCAAATCAAATCAAACCTTCAGGTGTCTTTGAGGCAGCTGATAAAGAACAGGCACTAAATTCATACAACCACTTCCCATCAAAAGATGAAGTGAGATATCTAGTGTTTGCTAGATACAGCTACCGCAGCTAAATAAAGCACAGACATTCATAAGGCAACATTTCTGATGCCAATAAAATCATAACAACTTACTCATTTAGTAAAATGTCACTTATCATGTGGTTTTTAGGGCTGGTATTTACTACTAATTAGAAGATGTGGACTGCTTCAAGATGTTTTCTTTCTGCCCATAAAGAATATATTTTGTATAGAGTAGAAATACTCCACAGTAGGTACTCAATAAATATTTGCTGAATTAAACTAAATTAGGCAAACAAAGTTATCCTCCACATGGTCAAAAGCAAACATGTAACATAATTTAAGCACCTGAATGCCTATTATCTTCCAGTTCTTTTTCAAGATAAACATATTGGTGCCATTCTGAGTACACAGCATTCGCTGAAGCTGGGTGTCAGAAGAGGGAGTTTATGGGCGTAGTGTGCCATGGAAATTATTAATTAGGGACCACTTAATGTAAATATTCCTTTTCACCAACATTTAATTGGCATAAATACAAATAAATTATGCTGGGAGAAGAGGCCAATTGCTTTGCTTTTTTTCAAACTATTTTCTAACTAAACTTAATAATTCATTGCTTTTCTAAAAATTAATTATTGAGTCTAAAAAGTTGAATGAGATTTAAGTTTGCATTCA